GAAACTGATCAGTTTTAGCAGCGGCTGAATCTGGACGCCAGTTCCGACTTACATACAGATTCAACTTAAGAACAAACCTACAGTCCCTATCTTGTACGTAACCCGGGGACTGCCTGTATAGGGCATGATCCCAAACCTATTTAAATGGGTAGAAAGACAGTAGGTTTTGGATTATGCTCTTAGACCACTGTTAAAAGATATTGGTAATATATGCACCTGTAACATTAACCTTTAGAAAAAATAGCTTTTAATTTACCACTTCTCTGGTTCCCCTCCTATATGCTAAAGGAATCTGAATTGCTTGAGTCCTACTCTCTTGTGAAATTCTGGTTCTACTGAGTTTAATGGGAATTTTACCATTCTTTTCAATAAGGTCAAGCTTTCACTCTAAACTGTTATCAGAATTGCCTTCCATCAAAGAAGTGGAAGTAAACAGTCAGTTCCCAGTTGGTGAAACACCCACATTAATCAGTGATATTGAGTCAGGGAAATGCCAATCTTTCTGAAATCTGTTCTGGGCATTCACTAACAATCTTGCTATTGATAATAAATAATGAAACTTTCTAAGCCAGGTCCTCTGCTGGTGTAAATTGGTCTAGCTCTATTGATAAGAACATACGAATGGCCATACTGGGCAGACCAAAGGTCTATCTAGCCCAGTATCCTGTCTGCTGACACTGGCCAGTGCCAGGTGCCTCAGAGGGGGTGGACCAAAGACAATGATCAAGAAATTTGTCTCCTGCCATCCTTCTCCAGCCTTTGACAAACAGAGGCCAGGGGCACCATTCTTTACCCCCTGGATAATAGCCTTTTATGGACTTAACCTACATGAATTTATCGAGCTCTTTTTAAAACTCTGTTATAGTCCTAGCCTTCACAACCTCCTCTGGCAAGGAGTTCCACAGGTTGACTGTGTGCTGTGTGAAGAAGTACTTTCTTTTATTAGTTTTAAACCTGCTATCCATTAATTTCATTTGGTGTCCTCTAGTTCTTATATTATGGGACCAATAACTTTTCTTTATTCACCTTCTCCACACCACTCATGATTTTATATACCTATATCATATCCCCCCTCAGTCTACTCTTTTCTAAACTGAAAAGTCCCAGTCTCTTTAGCCTCTCCTCATATGGGACCCATTCCAAACCCTTAATCATTTTAGTTGCTCTTTTCTGAACCTTTTCTAATGCCAAAATATCTTTTTTGAGGTGAGGAGACCACATCTGCATGCAGTATTCAAGGTGTGGGCGTACTATAGTTTTATATAGGGGCAGTAAGATATTCTTTGTCTTATTTTCTATCTGTTTTTAAATAATTCCTAGCATCCTATTTGCTTTTTTGACTGCCACTGCACACTGCGTGGATGTTTTCAGAGAACTATCCACAATAACTCCAAGATCTTTCCTGATTAGTTGTAGTTAAATTAGCCCCCATCATATTGTATGTATAGTTGGGATTATTTTTTCCAATCTGCATTACTTTACACTTATCCACATTCAATTTCATTTGCCATTTTGTTGCCCAATCACTTAGTTTGGTGAGATCTTTTTTAAGTTCTTCACAATCAGCTTTGGTCTTGACTATCTTGAACAGTTTAGTATCGTCCACAAACTTTGCCACCTCACTGCTTACCCCTTTCTCTAGATCGTTTATGAATAAGTTGAATAGGATTAGTCCTAGGACTGACCCTTGGGGAACACCACTAGTTACACCTCTCCATTCTGAAAATTTACCATTTATTCCTACCCTTTGTTTCCTGTCTTTTAACCAGTTCTCAATCCATGAAAGGATCTTCCCTCTTATCCCATGACAACCTAATTTACACAAGAGCCTTTGGTGAGGGACCTTGTCAAATGCTTGCTGGAAATCTAAGTATGATGTGAATGATGCTATGCTATCGGGCCTACTATACATCTTATGTTTGTCTACATTAGTATAACTGTGTTTATATTGTCTCATATATAACCATGTATACCCGAGCTAGCTTTGATCTAGGTAGTAACAGTAATGAGGTGCAAAGATAGGGGTACATACTCAAGGGGTTAGACTATGCCACTACACCACCTGAGCTGTTGCAGCATCGCACCTATTGTTACTCAAGCAAGCTAGATCAAAGTTCACTTGGGTATCATGCTTCCCACATGCAGTGTCGCTCTACCCAAAAACATCCCACTCCTAAGCAACATAGCTAAATTCAGATCATGTCAAGATTTTTCTTTTTTTAAAAATATGAATGCTGCTTATTTATATTTCAAAGCAAAACACAGGCCATTACAATAAATGAAAAGAAGGTGCTTTTTCCCCCAAGAATGTTTTGTTTTTACTGTACATTTTGTAGAAAAGAAATTAAAAGGAAAAAACATTCTGATCACAGGGATGTCATTGTCTAAAATGCCAAGTAGGAAACATGATGAATACAAGATCAAGTACACAGCCATGTCACAGTATATCTCTGAATCTTTTTTAAAAGAATACATACTTTTTTGTAGTTATTCTCTGTGCCTTACAACCTTTCTCCACACATGTTATAAAATAATATGAATGTGCAATTTCCAAAATGGTTCCCAGATGACAGATCACTGGGAACAAATAAACAAATTAAATAAACATGGTTGCTGTAGCCACCAAAATATTGGCAATCACGTTAACGGCACTAAGGACAATGGAGTCAGGTGGGTGGACCATGGGCATCCACAGTTGTCCTAGAACTGCAGCGATGCTTCCCCAACAGGAACTTGAAAACCAGGTTACAAGCCATACAGAAGAGCCACTGGTCTCAGGTAGCAAATACCTTGGCAAGGGATGGGGCAGAGGTCTGGGAGTGGGTGAAGGTAAAGATACAAGTGATACTTGGGAGACCATTTATTCTGAGAGCGCCAATCCTAACTTGTTTTCCGTGGCTAAAGAGGAATGTCCCCATTGCACGTATAATTCCCTTCAATGCTCCAAAATCTGCATTTCCCGCAATGATACAGCCACACCTTGTTGTGACAAGTGACCGGACAAAAAACTTTCTTTTGCAATAGAGCTAAAGACTTAATTTTCTTTGTCAGTCAAACAGAGTGACAGAATAACCTTGGCCAGCAGCAATTTGTATTAATAATGTGGAGAGTTCACCAAAGCAGCTTTTGTTTTTGCTTCTCTCTTGCCTTTTTATATGAAATCTTGAATTCCTCCCCACTCTGCCTCCAGGACAGCAAACCACTCCCCCACAGATATGAATAGCTGCTGCAATCTGCCTTGACAAGTAGTGACCATGAAGGAGATGGAAGAAATAGGATTATTTTTTAAAATTTATTAACCCCCTAGATTTCATTTTCCTAGGACGTAAAGGGTGATGTTGAAGGCAGGTTATACAATATATGGAGATTTTTATCTTTGTACATATCCTTGGTTTCATCACAGAGATTTGATGAGAAAAGAAAAAAAAAGAAACATCCCTTTTTCCTGCAAAACACCAATGCAAACAAACCAAAACTCGCCTCAACCAAGAAGAGGGGCAGAGGAGAAAGCAC